TCTCTCTATATATATATATATATATATATATATATATATATATATATATTTTTCTTGTCTTTTTCCTGCCTCCTGTTTTTTGTCGGTGAAGGGGGGGACAGACTCTCATGTACCATCGCCTGGCCTGGAACTCACTATCTAGCCAAGGACCTTACACTTCTGATCCTCCTGCCTCCACCTCCCAAGTGTTGGGATTCCAGGCATATATCACCACACTAAGTTTTACCGTGTTGAGGCTCAGATCCAGGGCTCCACGAAAAGCATTTGTCCCACTAACTTTTCTCCTTCCTGTTTGACCTGCCCTCACTCTCTTCAGGGTCTCGTGCTCCTGACACGGGTAGACAAACCAACCTAACACATTTTTATCTGAATTTTGCAGTTTGTACTTTTGTGGGCGGGGAGGGAATGACTTAGAAAGAAATGAACACCCCAGGCCTAGTGCCGCACACCAGTGCAGCACCACGCCTCATCTCGAGTCCATGCATGCCCACTCGCCCTGCAGAGTTCCAAGCAGGGTCCACAGGGTCCTTGAGAGGTCCCCAGCGCCCCACAGGGTCCACGGCAGGCTGGCTCGCCAGCTCCTGTTCCCTGCTTCCAAGATGGCGACAATTCCTCCTTTTTTCATTCCAATCTTCTGTCAAGCTAGGTTCCACCCTTCTTCCCAGGGTGCCCTGCACTTGCCTCTGGCTCTTCTGAGGAATAAGTGTTTCTGGGCTACAGCACTCTACCAGCTGAGCCCCACTTTACATATTTCTCTACAGAGTACTGTCACTTGATGGAGTCTCTGAGACTCTAAGTTGGTCGGTTGATGATCTGCCTCCCCCTAATGTCAGCTTCCTGAGGGTAGGGGCCTCTGTCTGCCTGCCTTGAATTGCTCAGAGCCTAGGACAGTGCCTGGCACACAGTAGGTGTTCATCCACGCCTGTGGATGAGTATTTGAGACACCACACTGAGCAGGTCTATTGAATTCAAAGTCAGGGATGGTTTTCCATCCTCCAGGCACACAGACAGGAAGAGAGGCCCCACAGGATGAGTTCACTTCACACCCACAGGAGACATGGGATTCCATGGCCAGAGACACCACTAAACTATGGTTAACCAATAGCAAAGGGGGACATTTCCAGAGAAAAGCAGGGTGTTGCAAAAAACACAATTAGAATGACCCCTGATTTTTCCACCAGAAATCAAGGAGGCCTGAAGTGGCACAAGCAT